CCCCCCACACACACTTTTCCCCCAAATACATACAAACAACGAAGCAGTTAATTTTTTCTTTGATGATTCATTTACCTCCCTTCATTCAGCATCGTCCATTAGAAAAAAAAAGTTCCCGGAGAAATGATAAACTGGCCTAACATGAAGGTGAAAAAAGGAGAAAGTAATTACATGTACACGAATAAATTACTTCATAATATCTCCATGTCAAATACAAGTAATGTATTCCCATCGATGAATTACGTAAGAAACGATCGCGATTCGACTTTGAACTTCAAACCTAAAAAGTGGCTCAGCAATTTGATCTGCATAATATTTTACATAATGTATTTTGTTTATCTATTATTTACAACAGGGTTAAATTAATATTTCATAGTTCTTGATTGTTTTGGGTCCTTATGTCCAGCTCAATGCCACTTTTTCATCGCCCATATGTTAGTAATAACCTTTGAGTTATTGACCAAATAAAAACAAAGTTCTGGTTTAAGTGAAAAAAGTTATAAAATAAGCCCATGTCCACACGTACATACACACTAATTATGTGCTAGCGTGTTTGCAAACACACAGAGATAAATAACCGTTAAAGCCTTTCGACTTTCTCACGTACTCCTGCGGTTTCAGTAGCCAAATGGGGGTAAAGGTAAAGTACCGTAGAGTAACTTCTTAGATGTTTCTGTCTCCCTTCTGCAATCTATTCGACACAGCCCGTTTAGACCTTGGAAGCTGGAGTCGAAGATAGCCGCCCGCCTCCTTGTCTTCAATGATCACAAGTGTGATGGAAGAGAGTGGGTGGTTGGCGGGTGCTCTGGTGTGGTTTGCTTCTTATTTCATATCAGACATCTATTGTTCTTATCAGCCCTTCTTCTTTTTTATGTTTGTTACTCTCTTGTAACACCTCTAATCTTCTGGCCCTCATATGACCTTATGCAGTTGCGAGCGCCGTAAAACTTCTACTAAAAAAAGAAAAAAAAGAAAAAAAAAGAAGAGAGTTTACATTTTTTTAAACACCACCACCAACAACACACAC